CTGCCCGCAGATGGAGGTGGCCCAGCAGGCGCAGCTCCGCCAGGAGGCGCAGTCGCTGCAGGAATCCTTCCTGCTCGAGAAGGACGCGCTGCTGCAGAAGGAGAAATTCATCGAGGAGGAGAAGGCGAAGCTGGAGAAGCTGTTCCAGGACGAAGTGGACAAAGCGCAGAGCCTGAAGGCCGAGCAGGAGCGGCAGCAGCAGGAGATGGAGCAGGAGAAGCAGCAGCTGAAGGCCATGCTGGACGAAGCCAAGCGGCAGCAGGAGGAGGCGGAGGAGAGCGTCCGCCGCAAGCAGGAGGAGCTGCAGCAGCTGCAGAAGCAGCGGCAGAAGCAGGAGCAGCTGCTGGAGGAGGAGAACCGGAAGCTGCGCGAGCGGCTGCAGCAGCTGCAGGAGGAGCAGCGGAGCGCGGCGGCGCCCACGCGGGAGATGATGATCCAAACGGACGCGGCGCCGCAGCAGCCGCCGCAGCCGCACGCGGTGCCCAACGGCCGCCACGCGCTGGACGGCCTGGAGCAGAACGGAGAGCCCGAATTCGCCTTCCAGGGCATCCGGCAGAAAGTGTCGGCGCAGCAGCTGGCGGCCGCCGGCGTCCTGAGCGGCCACAGCCTGGGCCAGCTGGCCGAGGGGAAGGTGAGCGTGGAGGAGCTGGCGCGGCGCGACGACGTGCGGACGTTCCTGCAGGGCCGCAGCTGCATCGCCGGTTTGCTGCTGGAGCCCGGGCGGCAGAAGATGAGCATCTACGAGGCCATGAAGAAGCGGCTGCTCAGCCCCGGCACCGCCTTGGTGCTGCTGGAGGCGCAGGCGGCCACCGGCTTCATGCTGGACCCCGTGCGCAACGCCAGGCTGTCGGTGAACGAAGCGGTGCGGGACGGGCTGGTGGGACCCGAGCTGCACAACAAGCTGCTGTCGGCCGAGCGCGCCGTCACCGGCTACAAGGACCCCTACACCGGGGACAACATCTCGCTCTTCGAGGCCATGCAGAAGGAGCTGATCGTCAGGGAGCACGGCGTGCGCCTGCTGGAGGCCCAGATCGCCACCGGCGGCATCATCGACCCCGTGCACAGCCACCGCCTGCCCGTGGAGGCGGCCTACAAGCGCGGGCTGTTTGACGAGGAGATGAACCGCGTCCTGTCCGACCCCAGCGACGACACCAAGGGCTTCCTGGACCCCAACACGCAGGAGAACCTCACCTACCTGCAGCTGATGGAGCGCTGCGTCGAGGACCCCGAGACGGGGCTGCTCCTGCTGCCGCTCAGCAGCCAGGCGGGCGCGGAGCTGCTCTACAGCGACCGCGAGGCCAAGGACGTCTTCCAGAAGGCCACGGTGAGCGCCCCGTTCGGCAAGTTCCAAGGCAAGACGGTGAGCATCTGGGAGATCATCAACTCGGAGTACTTCACCGAGGACCAGAGGAAGGAGCTGATCCAGCAGTACCGCAGCGGCAAGGTGACGGTGGAGAAGATCATCCGCATCGTCATCACCGTGGTGGAGGAGGGCGAGAAGAAGAGGCAGCTGCTGTTCGAGGGGCTGCGCGCCCCGGTGCCGGCCGCCGAGCTGCTGGAGAGCCGCATCATCGACAAGGACACGTACAACCGGCTGCGGCAGGGCAAGGCCAGCGTGGCCGACGTGGCTCAGAGCGACGGCGTGCGGCGCTACCTGAGGGGCACCGACGCCATCGCCGGCGTCCTGGTGGAGTCCAGCGGGGAGACGCTGAGCTTCTACGAAGCCCAGAGGAAGAACCTGCTGAAGCCGGAGGTGGCCCTGGCTCTGCTGGAGGCGCAGGCGGCCGCCGGCTTCATCGTGGAGCCGAGCGGCGGGCGGCTGTACACCGTGGACGAGGCGGTGAAGGCCGAGGTGGTGGGGCCGGAGGTCCACGAGCGGCTGCTGTCGGCGGAGAAGGCGGTGAGCGGCTACAAGGACCCCTACACCGGGCAGACCGTCGCCCTGTTCCAGGCGCTGAAGAAGGGCCTGGTCCCCACCGACGCCGGCGTGCGGCTGCTGGACGTGCAGCTCTGCACCGGCGGCATCGTCGACCCGGCGCACAGCCACCGCCTGCCGCTCGACGTCGCCTACCGGCGCGGCTGCTTGGACGCCGAGATGAAGGAGGCTCTGGAGGAGCTGCGGGGCTTCTACTGCCCCGGCAGCCGGCAGAACGTCAGCTACGCGCAGCTGCAGCAGAGCTGCCGCCGGGACGAGCGGACGGGGTTCCTCCTGCTGCCGCTGTCGGACGCCGCCATCCAGGCGCAGCAGGAGGAGATCTACACGGACGCTCAGGCCGAGGAGAGCTTCGGCAAAGCCACGGTGGAGGTGCCGGCCGGCAGCCTGCGCGGCCGCACGGTGAGCGTGTGGGAGCTGATCCACTCGGAGTACTTGAGCGAGGAGCAGCGGCGGGAGCTGCTGCGGCAGTACAAGACGGGCAGGGTGACCGTGGAGAAGGTCATCAAGATCGTCATCACCATCATCGAGGAGACGGAGAGCAGGAAGCAGGAGAAGCTGAGCTTCACGGGGCTGCGGGCGCCGGTGCCGGCCAGCGAGCTGCTGGAGTCGCGCATCCTCAGCGCGGCGCAGTACCAGCAGCTGCAGGACGGCCGCGCGACGGTGAAGGAGCTGGCCGAGACGGAGGCGGTCAGGCGCTTCCTGCACGGCGGCGACTGCATCGCCGGCGTCTACGTGGAGGCCACCAAGGAGAAGCTCAACATCTACGAGGCCATGAGGAGGAACCTGCTGCGCGCCAGCACCGCCGTGGTGCTGCTGGAGGCGCAGGCGGCCACCGGCTTCCTGATCGACGCGGTGAGGAACCGCAAGCTGTACGTCAACGAGGCGGTGAAGGCCGGCGTGGTGGGACCCGAGCTGCACGAGAAGCTGCTGTCGGCCGAGAAGGCCGTCACCGGCTACAAGGACCCCTACTCGGGGAACACCATCTCGCTCTTCGAGGCCATGCAGAAGGGGCTGATCGTCAGGGAGCACGGCGTGCGCCTGCTGGAGGCCCAGATCGCCACCGGCGGCATCATCGACCCCGTGCACAGCCACCGCCTGCCCGTCGAGGTGGCCTTCCAGCGCGGGCTGTTCGACGAGGAGATGAACCGCGTCCTGTCCGACCCCGGCGACGACACCAAGGGCTTCTTCGACCCCAACACGCAGGAGAACCTCACCTACCTGCAGCTGAAGGAGCGCTGCGTCGAGGACCCCGAGACGGGGCTGCTCCTGCTGCCGCTGCGGGAGCCCGAGAAGCCGACGGTGGTGGAGACGACGCGGGTGTACACGGAGGAGGAGACGCGGAAGGTGTTCGAGGAGACGCGGGTGGACATCCCCGCGGGCAGCCGGGCCGGCTCCTCCATGACGCTGTGGGAGATCATGCAGTCGGATCTGCTGCCCGACGAGCAGCGGCGGCGGCTGATGGAGGACTTCCAGGCGGGCCGCGTCTCCAAGGAGCGCATGATCATCATCATCATCGAGATCATCGAGCGCACCGAGATCATCCGGCAGCAGAACCTCGCGTC